AGAAGTAACTCGTCATTTTCTCGCAAACGAGTATGGTGACCTATCATTTTTTTCTGTTGTTTTGAATTGAGTAATAAATTTCTCTGTGTAAAATAAATGCGGACCAATTCTCAGTGTAGAACAAAAACAATCGTCGGAAACGTGAATTTAGCAAGTAATCGTGACTACAATAATGGTGCTATTATAAGAATTTATTGGGTATAAACAAGGTGCTGTTGCTCCTAAACGAACATGGGGACCCCTCATTTTTATTTCAAAATTTAAGTTCCTATAATATAACAATGAATAGGCAAAGTTGCACAAAAATCTCAGCGCAGGTTCTATTTCAGTGGAATGACCTTAAGAGTACTACATACACTAGCAGAAACAGTCACTATGCCGTAAAAAAAAGACAATTCCAGACTAAATGTCCAATAACAAGACATATACATTACGGGAAATTTATCTTGACTGGGCTGTCATGTAACATAAATGTTGTTTCACAATGGACAAAAAAAATAATAATTGATGTGCCAGGCTATGATACCTCTATCTAAGGCAGTCAGTCAACACGGGTTGCTAAAGTGTTCAGCTTAGAAGCTGTTTTATGTGGGCACGAAGCTGATTATGTGATTGTTGTTGTTGTTGTTGATTTCAACTCGTGTTTTCAGGTCTTTATTTCCTTGTGGTGATACCATGGTTTGCATTATCGATGATCGCGAGGATGTTTGGAATTTCGCCTCGAACCTGGTTCATGTCAAGCCGTACCAGTTCTTTAAGGGGGTGGGGGATATCAATGCCCCATCCGGTGGCTCTCCTTCTCCAAAGGAAGAGAAAACCTCCCCCGCAGAACCTGTCGATGTACCTGAGATGCAGGAGGGTGATATCAAACCCAAAGAGTTAAATTCTCAGGAATACAGCGAAGATTTTAAAGAAGAACAAGAGAAAGAAAATGTCATCTCAGAGGAGACTGAAAGTAAAGCAGTTCGTGAAGAGAAGGCGGATCTTCCGAATGTAGATAAAAATACAGAAGCTTGCAAGAACAATACTAAGCCCATTGTTGAAAAGTGCAAAGATAATAATAACATGAAAACCGTTGTTGAAACAGTTGAACTGAATGAGACTTCATCCAAAGTGCTCGAGAATGGAGGAAGTGATGATGCTAAAGATGTAACCGACAAGAAAGAATCGATTGAAACGTTTGAACGATTGAACGAAAATAACAAAGACACTGAACAGAACAATAATGGAAAGGCTGAAAGTAGTGAAGAACAAGAAACCTCAGATTGCAGTGATAACACAACAGATGAAACAGCTCAGCAGAGAAGTGAAGGAGGTAAGTGTCACACTTCCGGCGTGTCACGCAATACTCGTGACAAGCTGAGAAAGTACTAAAAATGTGACTGTAAAAGTCTTTGTAATCTGTAAATATTCTTGGCGTTTTGACCTTTTCCATAATCGGTTTTTTATTTTAGTACATATCTCCAAAAGAATGCGTAAAATAGCATTTCAGAGCCTCTCAATGTAAAAATCGTCACTCACAACTGAAGAGACGACAAGTCAGCCGGACCACAAGATTACCCAACGAGGATATTTTTCAGGGACGGACCATTACTTCTTTGGCCACGGGGGAGGGGCGTTAGGCAATTTCCAAAAAAAAATTCTTGCACAGCAAAAACTGATGAAAAACAGACCGTGTAAGGAGAGCCGTGGGGGAAAAAAATCGAGCGAGTGCTTTCTACTAACCAGGTCCTGTATTTGACTTTAAAAAAACATTCTTGCACAAGCTATTGCCCAAACCCCCCTCCCCCCCTCCCCCAACTGTCGTTGTGTTGTTTATCCATATCTCTTAGGGCCTTGCAGAGTGATATTCGTGTAAACAGACAGTATAATCTGTTGGGATTCTGTAGCTGAAGATTAAATTGGCAGAAAGTTTTATGAAACGAAATTTTATTACGCTTATCTGGGAACAGCTGTTGCCTTTCCGAAAATCGTCCGTGGCCAAAGCGATATTTAAATCATTCTAAAAACAAACGCACTTGTTATTTTTCCATGTTACGAAAGTTATAAGTAAAAGTTTACTAATGAAAATCTGAGGGAATTAAAGCTCTTCCAGTGTCCTTGGAAGGGTAGTTAAGAAACAAAATTAATTGTTAGATCATGTACTAGTTTATTAGAACTTTGTTTCAGGAAGAGTCCTTGACAAAAGTGCTATAGGTGTCTGAAATTAAGTTCTTGTCTGTAAGAACATTATGACTAATGAAAACAATTAACACTCCATCTTCATGAAGATTTAATTCAGACATGTTCAATAAAGAAGTGGGTAAATTTTCACAACACCAATATCGATTAATTTGACCTATAATTCTGAATCCTGCCCTACAGCCAATTCAAAAATTTAATAACGCAAAGCAACTTCAAAAGCACTTTTTCTCTGTTTGACAAAACTTTATTTTAATAACTAAGTCGGATTTGTACAAGATTTCAAGCTCTCCCTAGTTCTTTTCTTTTCTTTATTTATTTTTTTGTCCTTTCACAAGTACAAATATCCAAAACATTACATAAACTACATTTGAGAATACATTACAGTAAATTACAAACGTTAAAACAGTTTGTTGAAGTCTTAAAAAACATCGTGCACTATGTATGGTTCTATTCTGTTCTGTTCTGTTGTTTGTTACCAAAGTGTTGTTTGAGCCCATCGCGTTAACTTTCTTCGTTAGAGAATGTGACCTTTTCAGTCGTGCTAGTTTCCTGTATTTTGGACAACACCTTAGTAAAACTCAGACGATAAGTTTATAAAATGATGTATCTGTTAATTACTATTATTATTTCTTTTTAATATCGAGTGCCGGAAAACCAGATCCAAAGGAATCACTCTGGCCAATAACAACGGACACAGGCAATCCAATGAAACAATCAAAACTCAAGGCAAATACATGATTCAAAGCGCGGGAAAACGTGCGCGAGCGAGTCACGATAGCTGGTTTTCACATGACGTCACTAAAATTCGAACCACAAAACTATTGATCTTCCTGAGATTTTACTTAAATGATGTATAAGAGCAGCTGAAAA